ACTCACACACATACGCATATACACACGCACGCATACACACTCATGGATTATTCATGCTCGTGCACTCTCAGCAATTTCCAGCACAATGTCATGTAACTTTGCTGCTATGATCAAGCTGAAAGCTCGTTCAGTTTGTCCGGCCATATTTGGTAACCCATGCTTAGGGCTTCTCTCAAGGCTGAGACTAGAGATACTTCTTCTACTTTGATGGTGTGTCCCACTCAGCCTGGGCTGCACCTGACAGGCAGGGTCCAAGTTTTTCCTTTAATGGGGTGAAAAAAGCCCATAATTTAAAAAAATAAGAATGCTGAGCACGATATATAGGCTCAGTTGTTTTTATTACGCTGCCCACATGATCAGACCTGTAAGTGGCAGAGAGAACACTTTTCAGGAGACGGAAAAAACTGATTAAGTTTAAGACGGCGTTGTCAAACCTTTTCTATTTCGCATAAACCACTCAAATCAATGTAACTGAATGAGGGTTAAATGCTGGTCTGTAGAACAGATAATAATAATAATTGCATTTATATAGTGCATATCCATGCTCAAGAGCATGCTCTATGCGCTTTACAGCTATTATTACCCCAGCAGACCCTCTGAGAACACTCAGAAACATTCTCGGCTTCTGCGAAAGCATACAGTGCAAGCTGCAGATTTCACGAGCTCAAACACTATCAAACTGACAAGATCGTTCACTGTCTGTAGCCGGGTACCCATTTCCACCTGGGTGAAGCAAGGAAAATTTGTTCAAAGGCCTTTCCCTAGGACACTACGTCGGGCCCTGACGGGATTCGAGAGTCCGAGAGCCTAACCACTAGGCCACCGACGCCACTATGATGGTCTAGTTGGAATCGCTGTCCAATCATTCTTGTGTTGTAGAGTTATCAAGGCTCTTGACTCTCTAAACCCGAAATTATTTTTCACATTTTGAACGAATATTATTCTCATTATCTTGTGATATATGTGTAAAATGTTCATGAAATGGCTAATACTGTGTCAAAGTGAAAGAGGAAGTAGTTTATATATTTATCTAACTCTTCCGAGTCAAAATAAATCTATTCAGGTTCATGAGAGATTGTATAAGCAGTATTGCTTCATGCTGACAGGACACTGCGACCGTATACTCAGGGACCGCGTGAGGTTCACTGGATGCTCCCATCATCCACCTGGGGTTATCATCATCATCATCATCATTGCCTTTCTCGGTAGGATACAGGCCACGAACAAACACTTTCCACCTTTCCCTATCCTGGGCTAGTCGCTTGATGTCACTCCACGTCTTCCCACTTTTCTGTACATCCATTTCCGTGACTCGTCTCCAGATTCCACGAGGTCTTCCCCTTGATCTTTCACCCTGTGGGTTCCAATCTAACCTGGGGTTTTAGAGCTACTTACTTAGCTCTGTTCTAGTGGAGAAGAGTGTTAAATTCAAAGGTTTGGCCTCTTAAATAAATGTGACAGTTTTGAAAGAGGTGTTAGAACTCAAACACTGAATAAACAGTTACTGGGGTCTTGACTGCTCTTCCCATTATAATCTTTTCCCTTGCTACAGTTCCGTCTATCAGCGTCTGTGATGTAGTTGTTAAGCTCTTCGCCTTTGCACGCAGAAGATTTGAGTTTGATTCCCATGTAGGAAACATTTGTATCTCATACAGTCACAATTGTACGAGATTACTACTCACTGTCAGGAAAAAAGTGATTGTCTTAGACAACACACTGAAGCTCTAAGGGGAAATAAAAAGTGGTGATTTATCCAGGTGATTGTCTCATACAGGTGGCTGTCAGAGCAGGCTCGACTGTATCTCCATTTTTCTGCTCACACTGTGTATTTTCCTAAGCTCAGGTTGGCTCTGACAGTTTGGGGTGAAGCCTGCATTCTAATTGATCTAAATAGAGTCAACATGGGCGTAAAATTTCTACAGTTTCATTGGGGTTTTTTTTGTTTTGTTCACAGATTCCCCCTGCTGGTTGCAGTTCACAGGATTTGCTCCCGCGAGGTCGACCCCCGGAACTTCATTGACTGTCTCAGGGAACATCCGGAGCACCTGTAGACAAGATTTTTGTTCTCTTGTGTTAAAGTCTAGGCTTCCTGATATTGATAGCTTGTGAGTTGTAGAGTATTACCTCGAGTATATCCTTTGATGAAACCAAACCATGGCTTGCCTTTTTTTACTTGTATTTATTGACACGTTATCAACTGATGTTTCAGCCGCAAAGTTATAATTTCTAGTTGTCTTTTCTTTACTGTTTGCAATGTCTCAATATTAATTTGTTTGATTTGTTTTATTATGTGGTTTTCTTATGAAACTGACTCTGAATTTTCTAATGACTGTACTTCTTAAATCCACACAAATTGGTTTGTTTTCCTGCTGTTATGGTAAAGATCTTTTTATCTCAACATTATTTATAAAGCTTTAAAAAGAATTGTCAATTTGATTGATTTAGAAAAATTTTTACAGCTTTGATTTTTGAATGTTGTTTTGGGGGTTTCTGTGGGGGTTTTCTTTTGGTATTTTCAATGTGAATAGTTTCTTTGTTTGACTCTTTTCACACATGTTTAAAATTTTGTTTAAATTTTATTTCTTTCAAGAAAGCAAAGAGTTTTGTGCTGCTGGAAAGAGGGAAATGTACCAACCATTTTACTTTGTTAACTTTGTTTACCTCCACATTTTCAGTCAAGCCCTGTCTGACCCTAGTTATGCTTTGTTCTGTAGACTATTATTAACCAATAACGTCTTTCCTCTGAAATTATAAGTTTTCCTTTTAAGTTGTGCTACTTTATGAATTTTACTATTATTGCCATCCATACAAAACATTATTCTGAACTCAAATTTTGTTTCATTTATGCAAAAGATCTGTTCTCTCTGCAAACTTTTACCCTAACGAACAATGTCTGAAAAGAATCTCCACAATCCCAATACTCTTTGAGAAAAGATTCTCGTTATTTTTCAATCTTTATTCTCTCTCTCTTGCAATTAAATTGGTCGACATATCACTAGCTCTGTGCTTTCTTGTTGTATCTCCATTTTTAATAACAGCGAAAACCTTTCATAACAAAGAGTGAGCCTAAGAAAAAGTCATATTTTCAATGTTTAAACAAATGGAGATACGACAAGAAAGCACTGAAGTAGCGATATTGTTGATATTTTTTACCAGTCTATTTACAGAACTGGTCTCTTTGTAACTACAAGGTGCTGTATTGAATCATTTCATGATGTGTATTTGCTCAAAATGGGTCTGTGTATAAAGATGCGTGAAATTGCCGTGTGGGTTAACTGACAAGTCTTCGCTTTCTTTCAGAATTTGTCACCTGTTGTTTGTATGAAATGTCGCTACAGATATGCTCTGTGGTGTAGTGGGTAGGTACTTTTCTGTGGCTTGCAGAAAAGGTGACCCGAGATCGATTCCTGAACGGGGGAAAATTGTTATTGAGTATCTCAGTTTCTCTGCTGTGATGCTGCATCTGTCTAAGCATGGCTCAGCTATGACAGGCAGGGTTGAAACCTCCTTTCTTAATCCTATCCGTACATCGTGTTTTACTATCGTATCCATACGACCTGGGGAACTCTGAGCCACCACTTTCCAAAGAGGAAATTTACTCATTAATCCAATCCGTACGCTTTGCATAGCAGTCTGTCAAAATTATTTTTTGAGAAGTACTGAAAGTTTCAAAGAGATCTTTGCACTAGAAGTATTCTGAAATGTGAAGAAAACAATCCCGGGGGTACAAAATGACCCCCGGACGTACGGATAGGGTTAAATAAATTGTGTCCGTAGAATGTGTAAAAAATACCTAGATTCCCATTTTTAAGGGCAAAGGGTCCCTAAGGATTTGTAAATGCCCTGTAGAATTATGGAATCTCTCCCCCCCCCCACCCTAGAATAATGCAGGTGTAAATAAAGTGAATGTGAATCATTTTTAGGAGTAGTCCCTAATGTTGGACTTCCATTTCTGAAGTAGAGAGTCAACATGATATTGTTTCTGGCATTTATCCTTTTAGCAATTTCTTAGCTTTTCGGGAAGACACCCCCCCCCCCCCCCCCCCTTCTTTGCTGCTAAAACTAAAAGTAGAGGAGATGCAATGTCGTGCTGGTTTTACTTAATTTTTACTTCTTTCTACCAAAAACGAAATTGTTGTGTTTTGTTTGTGTTGATTTGTATGCTTTGTTTTCTCTCCTTTATAATTTTTGTTTTTGTTTTATGGACAAGAAGCACTCAGGTTGAGGAGGTTAGGGGATTTACATACACAAGCTGTAATGTATGCAAAGTAAATTTATGCAACTTGTACTCTGTCTGACCTGGCGGCTGTTTTCTTCTTCATCACTGGCTTTAAAGTGGGTGTGTTGTGGGTGTTCTGGCACGGTTTGCTCATTTTTTCCTATCAAACACCTGTTATCTTTATTTTTCCCCCTTTTCAATGTGTGTTACTCTCTAGTGATGACTTCAATCTTCAACACTTATATGACCTATTTGGTGGGTGGTTGGCGGGTGCTCTGGTGTGGTTTGCTTCTTCTTTCCTATCAAACATCTAACGTCTTTATCCCCCCTCCTTTTTTTTGTATTTGTTACTCTCTTGTAACACCTCTAATCTTCTGGCGCTCATGTGACCTTATGCTGTTGCTAGCGTCGTAAAACCTCTACTAAACTAAAAAACTGACCTATTTGAGTTGCAAGTGCTGTACAATTCTTTACCAAAACTAAAATAGTAGTCATGTCATACTATAATTTGAAATAAACTAACATTGCTACTCCATTACTTCTGAAAGTTTTGCAACTGAACCAGTGCTAGTCCCCACTGTGCAGCCCCTTGTTTTAGAGCGTTGTTCCTTGTGTTTAAATTTCTCTGAGAAGGAGACACCCAGAAAGAGAGAGAGAGAGAGGTAAAGAAAATTGATTTATTCTTAGTTTAGGTGGAAAGAAATGAGTCTGCCTACAGTTTTCCTTTTATTTTTAAAGTGATAAAGTGAAAAATTGAAGGACTGATATTACCTTACATGACAGCAAATGTTCTGACCAATTTTGTATTGATCTTTAATAGTTTTATAAAATGCATTGAGTGCATTACTAATACTATTGCTATTTAAATGTACACAATACAACCTTTATGAGCAAGGGATGTTTAGTTTTAATTACACAGTTGTATTACAGAAAGTCGTGTATCATCAACTGGCAGCGTGTATTTCGATAGTGCTAATGTTACAACTAGTTTTTTCGACTGTTCCTCATTTTGAAAGAAGCATAATAATGATATAGTAAAGGAATTGTTTTATTTTTGTTGCCGTTTGTTGGTTTGTTTTTCTTGTACAAATGTTACGGAATCTTCTGTTTATTCTTTTTATTGTTTTACTCAATTTACCTGAAAGTTTCAGGGATTTTTTTACCATCTCTTATGCAAATATATTTGAATTTGAATGTTCCTTTTTTACGTTTCTTAAGCAAATACAACTTGCTGTTTCTTAAAAAAAAAAATTCTAGTTCAAATAGGTGTTTGTTTTCTATTTGGTGCAGCTGAGACTGAATGTTCTTTTTCCAGCTGCTCATTTTACAGGCCTGTTGTTTACCGGTAGAGAGGACTGTCGTACTTGTCTTACTTGTCCACTGTGTTGGGGGTCACTGCAGTCAGAACATGTCCGTCTCTGCTCTCCCCCCCCTCTTCAAGATCCATCCCAGAGAAGACTGGCTCTTCTTCAGGGTGGCGATACTCTTCTGTTTGTGGCGCAATTGTTCAGCTCTATTTTATGGTGCGTACGGAAGACATGGGTTCAAATCTGGATGGGATGGGAAGTTTAAAAAAAATTAAATCAGGTATCCTGATCTGTGTGTTTGAATGCTGTGCTCGGTTTGGCCTTGAAAGACATGCAAGATGCAGGTCCCCTCCTGATTGATTGAAATTGTGTCAATGAGGACCTAAAAGATGAACGAACTATCGATCACGAGGCAAAATTTTCCCTTCACATTTCTGCAGTTCCCCGCCATGACTGGTCAGGGTGCTAATGTAGTGTTGGATTGGTCGTGTATGTGATCCAGTAAATCTAGATCTTTTCTGTCCCCATCGCCACAAGTTTGGTCGTTTAGGAGTGAGGCTGCTTTGATATTGAAGTTTGTTTCCTCCGCAGTTCTTTCTTTTTACCTTGCTTATACACTGAAATATATCCATTTTCCAGTTCTTGTTCTCCACAATTTTTTGTTGTATTGTACTCTCCTCTGAACAAAAAGCTGATGTCACGACGTAACATTTGTCCTAGTCTGTGTACATAGTTTTTCTTCACTTTTGGGTAAAATACTGGTTGATATAAGTATAATTAGGACAAACTGAAACATTCGACATATCTACGTAGCTGTTTCTGTGAACTTGATTTAACTTGTGATAGAACAACAAAGTACCTTTGACCTTATGCAGTTGCCAGCGGCGTAAAACCCTCTACTAGAAAAAAAAAAAAAGAATAAAGTAAAGTACCTGGACATCTGTGGTGTAGCAGCAAGGTGCTTTGCCATCACATACTGAAGACTGAAGTTTGATAAGCGTGTGGGATGATTGAATTTTTATTGAGTGTCTCAGTCTTTTTGCTGGGACAATGTATCCATCTAAGTGGGGGTTGGCCCTGACAGGCGAGGTTGAAGCCCGCCTCCTGAAGGCACCTTTTTTGGAAAAACAACAACGACAGAGCACCTTATTTATATTTGTCATAGAATAGAGTCAGAACCAGTTGTCCAACTGATAGTAAGTCAGTTAAAAATTAGGACGATTTTACTTTTCCAGAATGAAGACAGTCTGTGACTGTGAGTGAATTATGCACGTTTTTTACTTTAGCAGGTCAAATTATAGTGCGTAACTCAACACACCACTGTTGAAAAAGAACAAAAGCAAAAAAACATCCACACATTTTGGCGGGTTCACTTCTACTCTTCTGCAAGCAGTTTTTTTTGTTTTGTTTTATTTAAAATTGTTTTGATTTACTTCCCACTCGCTTACTGAGTAACCTCTTTGTTAAATTTTTTCCCCAACTAGATCTCCACATTCATGAATTCCTCCTGTCAATGTCAACACCCATATTGATTCCTGGATTGCTTTTCCTTTTACTCGATTTTTTTATTATTGTTTTTCAGGGGGGGGGGGGGGGAATTGTTTGTTTGTTTGTTGGGTTTTTTTTGTTTTTTTTGGTGTGTTTTTGGTTTTGAACAAGTGTTGCACAGTCTCATTTCAGCTTTAAATTAAAGCTTTACGCCAGCTATTGGGCTTTAGAGCAGTGCAATGTTCAACTTGTTCATAGTGTACTGTACTGATTGTGGAATCTGGTTGTGTGTGTGTGTGTGGTGCTACATTGTGTTATATATATATAACATTTGAATATGATACATACATACTAATGAAGACTCATTTAGAACAACTTCTGGGCAAGCTGTTCAAATGTTCTAAGCCCAGAAAGCAAAATTGTTATGGACAGAAAAAAAACCGACTGTTTCTTCTTTCTTTTTGAACAATTGTACAGAAATACAAATCTAAATTAGTTTGGACTTCTGGGTTGACACCCACCCCTTGGCGCTCGGTCCTGGCTTTATGCGATTGCGAGTGCTGTAAAGTCCTACTAAAAAAAAAAAATTAATCTGAATTATGAGGGTTTTTCTTCTTTTAAAAAAACACTATTTAGAATTTGAATAACACATGTACATGTAGGCCTACTGTTTTCTTGTTTTTTTGAAATATTTAGAATTTGTATTCTGACATAATAGTTGTTGAGCTCATGAAACTGTGAAACCAATACCACAGATTCAGAAACTGTCATTTGTATTTGTATTTCAAAATTTTGGGCTCAGTACATTTGAACAACTGTTGATTAAGAGGAAAAATTTCATGTCTAGTACTTATTAAACTTTTCCTGTACTTGAATCACTCTGTTTTGTTGTGTTTTTTTTTTTTAATCTTTGGGGGTTTTTTTCAATGTTTTGATCATTTTGTTTTTGACTGGCATCGTGGCTAGGCTTATATGTGTCTCGACGTGGTGGAATCAGGCGCTCTTCAATTTTGGGGATTATGGAATTATTGGTATCATCTTAAAGCTTGTTCTCTTGCCTTGCTTTTGATGAAAAAAAATATTAATTGATCTTGGATACAAATCAAGATGTTGGTGATTGAAGGAGGTGAGGGTCGTCTGGTTTCTCTCTCTCTCTCTCTCTCTCTCTCTCTCTCTCTCTATTTGTCAGCTAGCAGAGGTCGGAAACTCCCTGTCACAACTCTCAAGTGCCAAAAGCTGAACTGGGACGCCTGTAGGCACGCAGCCTATCGCATGACATCCCGCCCCACTAGAGGTGGGCAAAATCCGGATAAATATCCGGAAAATCGGATAATCCTCAATAAGTACATTATCCGAATTCAGACTCTTAACTCTCTTTCCTTACCCGTTTGCCGAAGTGGGTGCACCCATTTGTTGAAGTGATGCTAACCCGTTTGTCAAAGTGGTTTTAACCCATTTGCCGAACCAGTTCATATCATAACATATTATTTACCGAAGAGGTGCACTAACATATTATTTCGATTCTGCTAAAACGACTCATTGCCCAGCCCTACGCCCCGCCCTTTCTCAAATGCTGAACTATTGACCTTAGCTTACGTCTCTGCCAGCACGATTATTTGTGAGGCAGCGTGGTGAAATCAGGCTCTCGTCAATTTGGGGGCATGTAGATTTAGTTGTATCATCTTAAAGCTTGTTCATTTGTCTTTATTTGGGTGAAAAAGATATCCATTTATTTGAATACAAGTCGAGATATTTGAGAATGAAGGGGGTGGGGGTCACCTTTTTTCAGAGGTAAGATTAGTGAGAAAATGGCCGCCAAAGATTAGTTATTTCCTTAGTTTAAGAGTCCGTGGTAACTGAACATTTACATTTTTTTTGTGCCTTTAATCAACGTTTTCAGAAAAATCCTCACAGAATTATATTCTTTAATGAGCATGAAAGGTGTTGAGTCAAAAAACAAAAATTTGAAAAAAATTCACAAACCTGTGGAAAAATGCAAGTTTCTTCACTTTGATTGTTTTGACGAGAGCCTGATTCCACCACGCTGCCTCACATTTATATTAGTCAACTTAAACGGAAGCCAGGCCCTGTCATGTGACCTTTCAGATAGGACGTGCAGCAGACTAATTGTGCGTCAGTCCAACCACCATTTGGACAGTCAGTCCCTGTGCCTGGGTGAGTGGGATGGTGTGATAGGTTACAAACAAATTATGTTAGCCCCCC